GACACCATTTTAGTAGTGTGTATAGCATCCAAAGAGCCACTTTGCAGGCTCTGAACGCCATCCCATTTGAATACTTCCAGGTATGCTATAAAGAATGGAAAAATTGCTGGGAGCATTGTGTACACTCACAAGGTACATACTTTGAAGGAGGCAATGTTCAATTGTAAAATGTTCATTAAAAGAATTAAGATATCATTCTCATTACTTTCTGGACACACCTCATATGTTTTTGTTTATTATTTTTACGTTAGATGAGTAAAGGGAAGGTTAGAACCTCTTTCAGGTTAATTCTATGCCCCCACTGATGAGATTCCCCCTCACTTCCTGTGTGGTCACTGAGCTGGGAAGTGAGCTGTATCTTTCCAATAGAGACACAGACAACAAACACAACAGGGAAAGATTAGAACCTTTTTTAAACTTTTGTCTTTTTTTTTTTTTTTTTTATTAAACAATTGTTGTTTAAATTTAGTTTGGGGAGATTCCCTTCGTTTTTCTTGTGTGGTCACTGGTATAGAAATGAAACATAGAGAGCAATATAAAACCCACAATTAGTCCTAACCCTTCCCCATGCTATTTAAAATGTGCTTTTAATTCTGTCTGTTGTGGAGCCCACCCAGGGGAAACATCCCAACAAGGAGAAAGATAGCCATGAAAACCTGATAGACATTCCAGTTTTCCCTCCATAATCCCAAACAAAATAAAATGGCTGAAAACCACACTTTAAGGCATTTTTTACTACAACTTTAATAATCAGGTTAGGAAAGACAAGATGACAGTGAAAAAATAATTCTTGCAAAGCCAGAGTTGATAAATGCAGGTTGACGGCTCAGCACACACAGACAATATCCCTGCATATGAACAGTAAGTTTTGGGATCAGGATTCTGAACACAGCTTGAGAGAGGGCAACCTTCGGGAAGGCAAGTGAACATTGAAATAAGCCATTCAAGCAAACATTTCATTACTGCGGGTCGCTGGCAGAATAGCCCAGCCCGTGTTTGCTGTACGGCACGGGTAAGTGCCCTATGCTGTTCTACTGACCTTTCGAATATACGCAGCGGTTGCAAAATTTCAGCAGCAAATTGTTTTAGATCAAACAACACCCCAGTACTTTTTTTGTTGAAAACCAGATGTGCAGGAGCTATGTGGGAAAAAAGTTCAATAGCTTTACATCTTCTCTGAACAGCTAGACTGAAGCCCAAGCAAAAGCTGCACACCATTTAAAATATGTTCCAACTTTTGAATTTCAATTACAAGCAAAATATAATGGATTTGCAGATGGCTGATGAGTCTTAAAGTATATGTACAGTATACCCTCACCTTGAAAAACAACCCATTCAAATGAAAGGCAAAACATGTGTAAAGATATAAAAACATTATAAATACATTTTCCCTTTTTTATAAGTGATAACACCCTCTGTTCTCAGCTGCATAGAGAGCTGAGGGTGGAGAAACAACAGTACACTGGTCTTCCCACTGAAATGCTGTGCAATTGGGGGGGGGCATGTCAGTACAAGTTTGATCATTGGAGGAGAGCAAGCTGAGTTCCTAGCACAGCAAAAGACGGACCATGCTGTGCTTTCATGCCTAATGTAGTCAGTTTTTAATAGGAAAGCAGAGGGACTGGCAGGATCATCAGACATTTCACACAAAGGAAGCAATGCAAAGAGAATTGGATCATATTTCAAACAAGTTCATGGTAAAAACAAGCATATATCAGGATTATGAAATGTTGGGTTTATATAACTCTTTAAAGAAGTATGACTAAACTTCTTAACCTTTTATTTAACCCTTCAGGGGGCCAAGTTCATGTAGTATATGGTCCAATTTAAATCCACCCTGCCAATGCAAAGCAGCATGGTCAGTCAACTTGCCCCTGGCTGTCCAACAATACTGATAGCAAGAAAACAGACTTGTGAGAGACAGCGCTATTCTCTGGCATCAGGGGGTGCTCTGGTGACCAGTACTGCCATGCGCAAAATATCACAAAGCCTGCAGTGCTGTGTGATCTATCTATGGCTGCCTTCTAAACACACAGCTTTAGCTGATAGATATCACAGCCCAGCAGCATTTAGTAATTTTTTCAGTTTTATGAATAAATGATCAGCATTGCAGGTCTGTGTCATACACTGTACTGACCCCAAAAGCACTTGTAGCACTACCCTCTTAGGAGCCACTGAGTTTTTGGGTCCCCCTTTAGTTCTGCATAGGCAAGCAACATGTATTTTCCTCCACACTTGCACATTGGAGACAGTAAACAGGCATTGAGCTTGTTTTTTGTAGTTTTATTAAGGGGTATTGAATTTGAATTGGGTTGAAGGGTGTATGGGATGCCCAAGGAACTGTAAAAATGTGAGGACAAACTCTTTAGCAACTATAGATGTGGACAAAAAGAATGAAAGTCTCCTTTGAAGAGCCCTTCTGGTGTACCTCTCAGACCCAAGTTGAATCTTCCTTTTCACTCAGCTGCCTGAGAGAATCCCTGGGCAAGGGAACCCAGACGCTGCTATTTTAGCAAAGCAGTCTCAGATGAGGAGCTAATTGGGTTTCCCACTTTACTGCGATTTCCCCTTATCTGGCTCAGGGAGCGTAGGATTAGTCACTCAGTCCTTGCCTGTGAGCTTGAAGGGTTTGTGGCTGCCTTCAGGCCTTACGCTTGGCTGGTTCCTTCCATGTTCCATGGGTAGTCCTCTACCAGAGGATAGTGAGGCTGAGAGATCCTCCTCTCCAGATCCTGCCTGCAGGTAGGCCCCTCTCCCAGGCTCCATGCTCCAGCCTTCATACTCCATCCTCCACCTGACATTGACCAACTCCTCCCAGGCTCTGCAATACTGAAGGGTTCGCCTTGGTCACCATGCCCAGCCTCCTGCCAGGGGATTGGCCAATGTTCCTTGTATACATAGATCTGAGCTTCTTCCTCTCCTCCCATCTAGAAGCTCTGACCCTCAGAACCTCCCTAGCCTGTTCTGAGGTAGCCTCACTACCTCATTCCCAGACTGACTCATCCCAGGCTGCTACTTAGCCTCTGACTAAAAACCTGTCTAGCTCCCCCTAGTTAAACTTGAGGGGCACTACACACTGCCTGTTCTTTATTAGTAATCAAAGATTTTTCAGTGCTGAGTGGCTTTGTGATCCATCTGTGACTGCTTGTAAACATTTAGGGAACCTGCAGATAGAACACAAAGTCCTGCGGTGCTGAATTACCTGCCAGGACCATGCCGATTGTTCATCATAATAGTAAAAGAACAGTCAGCTTCGAGAGGAGGGTGGTAGAGAGGGGGAGATGGTAGAGAGGGGGTGGGGGCTCACTGCTGACTGTACATCATCTACAGGAACACCTGTATATTAGGCTTCAGATTGGGGTGGGGCCACAGACAGAAAAATTTCCTATGCACGTTTCAACCTTCAAAAGTTTAAACTGGCACAGGACACAGCAGTCTCCTCCCCACCGAATGTAACAATGTTTGGGCCATGCTATTGGTCAATTTGGCACCAAATGCTGATTTGTGAGGAGACAACACTTCAACACAGACCTCATAAGTGGAAATCCCAGGTAGTCCTTAAGGCTTTGATGGTGAATTATGGCAGCAGGAGAGTTTGGAAAAGGCTAGTACATCCAACCCATGGGGTCCGCTAAGCAGCTAACCTTTTATTCTGTCTAACATAATTATTGACAGCTCCACTTTAAAAAAGGATCACAAACAACTAGCAGGCCTATCAGCTCCCAATCGCTAATGTAAACAAAGAACAGGAGATCTGAGAGAGGGGAGCAGAGGGAGCTGAGCTACCTGTGGAGCAATTAATCCACAAAGTGCAAAGGAGAAGTACCGACGTTATTCCCTTACCTGCTCAGCTCAATCTGCTCCCTTTTCTTGCGTATTTGGTTACAAGAGAATTTTGAAGATGATTAGCTCCACAGTACCTGTAGCTACATAGGCCAGTAAGGATCACTTTAGGGGCCCATGCAGTGAATTTACTAATTTTCGTGCAATCCAGCAGTGAATCACACAGAAATGAGGACCTGTGTGATTTAGGTGTGAACAACCCTAAAAGTCAAAGTGTTGTAGTAGAGGATCTGACTACCTATCACAATATGATGTTTCAGTTTTTTTATTCTTAATAAATTCACAGACAATTCTAAAATTCTGATTTCAATTTGTCGTTATGGGGTACTGCGTGTAGAATAATAAGAAAAAAAATTTAAACAACTGTAATATCAGGCTTAAACATACCAAAATTGGAAAAATGTGAAGGGGGTCTGAATACTTTATGAATGCAATATACTACATACATACATTTATATACACATACACACACACGCACATATATAATAATATAACTTAGATTACAAAATCTTCAGTTTTACTCAAATTAGTTGAAGCAAAAACAAATACACCCCACAAAAAAAAACTACTCCATCTAGTATTTTCAATGACCTCCATGATTTGTAAGGACAGCACCAAGTGTTCTACACATGGAATGAACATGTTGGTGACATATTGCAACATCAATCTTTTTCCAATCTTCAAGAACGACCTCTTTTAGAGCCTGGATGCTGGATGGAGAGTGATGCTCAACTTGTCTCTTCGGAATTTTCCATAGGTGTTGGATTGAGTTCAGATCAAGAGACCTACCTGGCCACTGAATCACTTTCACCCTGTTCTGCTTCAAAAAGGCAACAGTGGCCTTAGATGTGTGTTTTGGACCATTGTTATGTTGAAAGTGCACGACAACCAAGGGCATGGAGTGATGGTAGCATCTTCTCTTTCAATATAGAGCAGTACATCTGGGAATTCATAACATCAATGAAATGCAGCTCCCCGACACCAGCAGCACACATGCAGCCCCACAGAAGGACACTGACACCACCATGTTTCACTGTAGGCACCATGCATTTTTCTTTGTACTCCTCACCTTTGTGACAAAATACAGTTTTGAAGCAATCAGTTCCAAAAACCCAGTAGGAATCTTTTTTTTCAGCATGGGCCCCGGTAAATTTTAGACGGGCTTTTTTGTGCATGGGCTTTAGGAGAGCCTTCCTTCGTGGACGACGCCCATGCATGCCATTCCTCTGCAGTGTACGCCGTATTGTGTCACGGGAAACAATCACCCCAGTTTGGCTTTCAACCTCTTTAGCTAAATGCAGTGAACTCGCATGGCGATTTTCTTCAACCCTTCTCATCAGAAGACGCTCCTGTCGAGGTGCTAACTTCCGTAGATGGCCTGGACATCTCTGTGAGTTGGTTGCAGTTCCATCTTTGTTAAATTTTTTTCAGCACTTTTGCTGCAGTATTCTGACTGATAAGTAAAGCTTTGGTGATCTTCTTGTAGCCTTTGCCACTCTTGTGTAAAGAAATTATTTTCTTTCTCAGGCCTTATGACATTTCTCTTCCATGTGATGCCATTGCTGACAGAATGAAATGGGGAGGGGTTTTCTTTGTTAAGTAACGCCCTTTTATAATCAACTGTCTGCTGGACACCTGTTTAATGAATAATTAGACTCACCTGTAGTTGAATTCTTGTTAATTGGGATTTTGTTGTTTAAAATGTAGCTTTGCTCCTAAGACTTTACATTTGGGTGTATTCATTTTTGCAACATGGTCTTGAACGAATTTGTAAGGAAAAATACTTTCCTGTGTGTGCAAATTAACAAATCTAATTTGCAATCAATGGGCATTAGTGCGAATATTTTGTAGTGTAGTATAGTGTGTCCCATAGACAAATCTGTTGGGGGTGTACTCAAAAAAAAATAAAAAATATATATATAATATATATATATATATATATATATATATACACACACACACACACACACACACACACACATATATACATACATACACATATACACACACACACACACAAACAAATGTTTTGCCTTCCAATTCTTTTTTAAACTGAAAGGGTTGTTTTACAAGGTGAGGGTTCACTTTAAGGATCCTTTGGCCAAGGCTGCATTATTTTAGTATATTATTGATTATATTTATTGAGAATATTTTTTACTACTTTATTGCTATTGAGTATATTACTTCTATTATTTTAGTGGAATCTGGTTTATACTGTACCATACCTACCCCAGCTGCCCTTTAGCTCCTGTCTAGATCTGCATTGTGGGCAACTGATAGTTTCTAACCATAGTACAGAAAATCCGTTCATTTTTGATTTTTGGGAACAGAAATCATTTCCCGCTACATGTTCAAAACTTTGCAGAACATTTTCTATTCTTTCAGACAATTCTGATATCTGGCCTCTTTCTATCACTGTGTCTGCTGTATTCTCAGTAGTGTAACATAACTGCAATATTCATCAGAAAGAAACCTCCTGACTGTGGCAGGCTGGAGAAGCTAACTCAGGTGCATGGAGATACAGAAAAAACAGCCGTTGATTCAACCCAAAAGCAGCTAACCAAAGCAGAGATATCAGTTTTGGGTGAACTGGACATTTATTGTGAAAGATAAAGTGTTTTTGCACTTTTAGATTTAGTTTATGCATCCAGATTACTGGAATGAATATCTGGAGCTGAATTTAGAAGATGCATTTAGTAGATGGAGGGTCAGCAAGCGCCATCTGCTGGTACAGTGAAAAAAAAAAACACTTACTAAAAGGTTATAAAGTTATATTTAAAATTTTTAAAAGAGACTTTGTCACCATCTTAACAGAGAACTATAGCCAAAGCTTTTTTAAACATATTTCTGTTGTGGGTCACAGGAGTGCAATTATTTGTGCTCTCCAGTGACCCAGAATCAGCCAACAGAAAACTAAATTCAGCTGTCAGCTGACGTCACAGAGCTGCTCCAGGCTTTGCAGGAATTCTGACAGTCATGTCGGGATCCACCCAGATGCCTGATTGGCAGCTGGGTCAGCCTCTCAGCACTCCCCTGAGAGTCTGAGCCAGACACTCCCACCACTGAATAGCCAGAGCAGAGAGAAGTGACTGATAGTCACCGCTCTCTGTTCAGAGTGGACCAAGAACTGAGAAATCATTGGTCAGCTGATCACTCAGTTCTCATTCTTAGAGCTAAAGGGGGACAGCTGCAGGAGCATACCAATGTTGCAGCCATAGAGATGGGTATGAAAGTTTTTTTTTTTTCTTCTATTCCTGCACTTCTTCTTTAAAGAATTGCAGGTACAATCAAGTACTTTAAATGTTTACTTGCAATGTTTTTCCTTTCCATTAAATATTTTTATTGACTAGCAATGCACCTCTAAATGTACTATAAAATGTGACTACTACAGAAAGAGTAAATTCCCTTGTATAGACAACACCTCCTTACATGTTACAGCCTCTTCTGGGAGTGTCTAATCAGCTCTGTGCTGGCCCAGCTCCTTCTCCTCTCCAACTCCTGCTGGGGGAAGAATGAAGGTGAACACTATAGAGCAGGGCTGTCCAACCAATGTTTTTTTTTTAGAATTTGTTTGTAAAAATGCATTTACACTTCACAAACACATGCGGTGATTAAATATTTGTGTCTCTCTACAAGACTTTTATATGTTGTATCTTCTCCCACTCTTCACAATCACGCCTCATTCATTTCATCAGTTTTCAGCAGCACTCATGTGAGCAACTCATTTTCAAGGATAAAATGCAAGAGCAAGAAGAGCACGAAGAGCAAAGTTAGATCCAAAATGTCTGATAAGCACCTTAAGAATTCATTGCTACTACATCCATGGAACCAGATGGTGATGCGTTAGTTTATCAAAAACAGTGTCAAATATTGCACTAGTTTTGTATTGCCCTCTTTTACTTTTATAATTAAAAATATTACAAAAAAAAAATATGTTTTATTACTTGGATAGGTACATTATCAGTGGTTCATATAGTGAACTCGGTGTAGAGCTATTCACCCTGAGGTCATCACAGAGGACAAGGGGACACTCTATATCTGGTGGAAAAGAAATTTCATCTCCTAACACAGAAAGGTTTCTTCACAGTGAGAGCTGTGAAAATGTGGAATAGACTCCCTCAAGAGTTGGTTCTGGCCAGCTCAGTGGATTGCTTTAAAAAAGGCCTGGATTCTTTCCTAGATACACAGAATATAACTGGATACTAACATTTATAGGTAAAGTTGATCCAGGGAATATCCGATGGCCTCTCGGAGGATCAGGAAGGGATTTTTGCCCCTGCAGGAGAAAATTGGATCATGCTTTGCTGGTTTTTTTTGCCTTCCTTTGGATCAACTGTGGGTATAGAATTATAACTTTTATGGTAGAACTGGATGGACTTTTATCTTTTTTCAGCCAGACTAACTATGTAACTATATCAGTGATCAATAACTTGTGATCTGCCTGTCTTCTTCTGCTCATAAGCAATCTTTATTGTTATTGTATTTTATGTGTGGCCAAAGACAACTCCTCTTCTTCCAATGTGGCCCCAGAAAGTCAAAAGAACACCCCTGCTATAGAGTGATTTGAGTAACAGCTATGAGATTGCTGACATCACATCCAAGATGGTGCCCACCAGCAATCTCAGGGCTTTTGGATATCTACACAAGGGAGGATTTTAAAAGGAATTAATATGCATAAAATATGTTTAATGCACATACACTGATCAGCCATAACTTTATAATCACCTACCTAATATTGAGTAGGTCCCCCTTTTGTCACCAAATTAGCCCTGAGCAATTGCGGCATGGACTGCAGTAGACCTCTTAAGGTATGCTGCCGTATCTGGCACTAAGCCATCAGTATCAGATCCTTTAAGTCCTGAAAGTTATGAGGTGGGTCCTCCATTTATTAGACTTGATTTTTTCAGGTCATCCCACAGATGCTCAATTGGACTGAGAGCTGGAGAATTTGGAGGCCAGATCAACACCTCAAACTCGCTGTTGTGTTCCTCAGACCCCATTTTTGCAGTGTGACAGGACCCATAATCCTGATCAAAGAAGAAACTGCCATTAGGGAATAGCGTTTCTATGAAGGGGTGTACTTGATTAGCAACAATGTTTAGGTAGGTGGTACATGTCAAAGTAAAATCCACATGAATGGCAGGACCAAGGTTTCCCAGCAGAACATTGACCAAAGCATCACACTGCCTCCACCATCTTGCCTTCTTCTCATACTGCATCCCGGTGCCATCTCTTCCCCAGGTAAGTGACATACATGCACCTGACCATCCACATGATGTAAAAGAGAATGTGATTGATCAGACCAGGCCACCTTCCTCCATGATCCAGATCTGATGCTCATGTGCCCATTGAAGGAGCTTTTGGTTACCCAGCCCCACATACAACAAACTCTGATGCCCATTTTTTCTGCTTTCAACACATCAACTTCAGGGAGAACATATTTACAAGCAGCAGGAGGGAAAGCCTTTTGCCGCTATCATGGGATCTCCCATCCCACCAGTAGTCCCGATCGACAAGTCGGCACAGCCTCTGGCTAGTCACGGAGCCAAATAAAGACCTGATCAGCTTTGTTCAACTCCATCAAATAGTAAACCAAAAGTAATGACCTGACATCATTTACAGTTTACTTGGACACAATTGACACCATTTAAAAAAAAAATAAAAGCATTCAATCACACCGATCTTGCTGTGATTGAGTGCTTTTAAGGCCAGAGAAGGAATTTGGGGTCTTATTTACCCCAGATCCCCATAAAGAGTACCTGTCACAGGCCTACTGCTGTCACAAGGGATATTTACACTCTCTGTGAAAGCAATATAAGTGATTCCAAAAAAAGTTTTTCAAGGTGACAGTGTAAAAAAAAATAAAAAAAAAAAAAAAAGAGAGGGGGTTTTGGTTATAAACTAATTTGGGTTATTTTTTTTTTACTAAAAATATAACGGAATAAATTTTGGCCAAGATTTATGATGAAATACTTTTTATTTGCAAAATTTTATAAGAAAAAAAACACTTTTTTTCAAAATTTTTGTACTTTTTAACTTACATAGCAAAAAAAAAAATAAAAATCCCAGTGGTGAATAAACACCACCAAAATAAAGCTTTATCTGTCTCAAAAAAATGCTAAAAAAATTCATATGGGTACAGTGTTGCATGACTGCGCAATTGTCATTCAAAGTGTGATAGCACTGAAAGCTGACAATTGGCCTGGACGGGAAGGGGGTGAAAGTGTCCGGACTGGAAGTGGTTAATATTTTACAAAAAAAAAAAAAAAAAATTGGGTTATGTATTGTGTTGTTTTGCATTAAAAATCAA